CTGTAAAATAATACTTACCTTAAATAGAGTCAGATACTGACCATGTTCTTTCTGCTGTATCTCCTGCCTAGACACAATTTTGCTGAGCAAACCCACTGCCATCCTATTAGGGAAACCTCTGGTCAACCTAAAATAAATTAGCAGCACCCTCCACCCCCCTTTCGCCTGGTTTGATTTCTCTTTATAGCACTGTTACCGCCTGACCTATTATATATCCATTCCTAGAAAAGTAAGGATTTTGTCTCTTTGGTTTCCTGCTGTATCCCCAGAGTCTAGGATGATGTCTGGCACAAGCAAGTGCTCAGTTGTATTTGTTGAATGAGTGAAAAAATTAAATGAAATTATCCCCCAAAAATACTTCCCCTGCTATCTGCAGATGGTAGGAACTCAGTAATTGTTAGCAGCTACTGTATCAGCATAGGGATTGGGAAACACTCCATTTTTATGTGTTCCTTGTCTAAGAAACTTTGGGCAGCGCTGCTTTCTGTTTTTGTATCAAACGCAAGTATCTTTAAGCTATTCTTTTTTTTAAAATCCTCCATAATATATATGTTTGTTTGTTTTTGTTTTGTTTTGTTTTTGTTACTCACCTGAGGATATTTTTCCATTGATTTTTAGGGAATGGAAGGGAGGGAGGAAGGGAGAGGGGGCATCGATTGGTTGCCTCCTGTATGCGCCCCAACCTGGGATCGAACCTGCAACCTAAGTATGTTCCCTGACCAGGAATCGAACCTGCCATCTTTTTTTGGTGTACAGGAGGCAACCGACTTGAGCCACCCAACCAGGGCTAAGCTATTCTGGAAAGGGTATTTGCCAGCCTCATACTTCACTTGATTCGTGTACAGAAGGACACTTTGTGGATTACAGTTGTGTGACCACGAGAACAAACCACTTAACGCACAACAAACAGAATAAAGTTCCACAGGCGCGCTACCACCACTGAGACGGGTGGAATTTTATTTTTTAACAATTAAGGTGATAATTGGGTTATAGATGCTTTGTCATTTCTCAGACCTCCCGGGGAAGAATGGAAGAGCTGTAAGTAACATTTGCTCAACTTCCTCTATGAGCAAACTCAGCTTGTCAGAAGTCATTTTATTATAAAGTGTTTATTCTTAACTTATAGAATGCAGTTCATGTGGGTCTTACCATTCTTACCTTTCTTTCAGCCCCATTTCCTTTGATTATTTGCTCAGATGCCACCCTGTAGGTGAGGCCAATTCTGGCCACCGTCCCAGCCCCTAGCACTCTTGCTCTGCCTAGACCCTAGCCTATTCTTTTAAACCATAGCACTTGCCACCTTAAAACTGTTTTGTACTTTACTTAGCAATTTATGTTTATTGTCTGTTTCTCTCCAATTGAAATGTAAGCTTTACGAGGGTAGGAATTTTATCTGTTTTGTTTACTTATATATTCCCAGGGCCTACAACATAGTCTGTGACCTCACAGAAAATTTTTTTACAGAAGAAAAGAAAGAAAGAGCTTCTACCCACCAAGAGACAAGATATTTTATCACTTCAGAAATGGTCTCTGAAATGTATGTGAAAAACTGCACTGTATTAACTGAGTTTAAGATTACCCTTTTAAAATACAGGAATGAGATGTCTTTTAAGTTATTCAAGATAGAGTTTTTGTCTTATAATCTTACTTTATAACCATATATTCTGTGGATAGATATGCTAGGTTTTATTGCAGGCTGATTGTTGGTCATTAATTTTAGGTGTACAGGTTGAAGGAGCCAGAAAAGTATTTGCCTCTCAAAAAAAACACACAAAACAAACCTAGTTCTTTTAAAAAGCCCCAAATGGTGATAGATGCTATTCAAGTGGCTCCGGCAGATCAGCCTCCTTTGAGAAAGTTGATTTGCATTGTCTGTCACTGTTCCAGATCAGCTTTAAAACCATACGCCTAAGCGTACAGTTGGCCGCTCTCTCACTGACCTGCGTTGTGGCCAGCTGGTGTGTGCTCGCACGCTGATCTAATCCTTAACCTTGGCCACTGGGACTCTCCTTATAAATATTCTCTGAAGACACAGATCTCTTCCCCTTTGCTCAGTACTTCCCAGGGTCTGGTCTTAGTCTCCCTGCACCTGAGTCACGTGGGAGCTTGGAGAGTGCAGGTCCAGGGCCTCCCACAGACACACCACCTCCTGTCACCCTGCCTCACCCCAGGGATGTGTTTCTATCTATGTGTTTATTTATGATAACAGCTTACTTAAAGCTACTGAAGTTTTCTTTTGTGTAGAAGAAACATCCGTTTCTTTCCTTCACCTCCTTCCCCAAAACAGCTGGGCCTTCATGTCTAAGGGGAGCAGTTGGATTTGGCCACCAAGGTTCCTTGTTTCCTCCTTAGCTGCTGGCCAGGTTGACCAGTTCCCTGGGTCCCCAGGCGCTGGTCTGATAAGCGGACTTCTGCCTGGACTGGCTCCCTTGATGGTGCTCTGGTTGCCGGCCCGAGCACAAGCCAGACAGAACCTTTCAAACCACATACTTCAGCAGGCTTCTGCTACCACTGGGGGCAAGTAACCAGGGGAGTCAGTTTTGTTTTATATCAAGTATACTTATAAATATCCTTGTCCAGGGGAAACATTTAGTTAAAATTTAGCATTTAGTCCACAAGAATGTAAGCTTTGTGGGAGGCAGAGGTTGGCCTCTTTGGTTGATGTGCCCAGACCACCTGCTGGGTCAGTGTCTGGCACATGGGCATTCAGAGTTGCTGGTAAGGTAGCAACTATCTTGATTTATTAGCATCAGGTAACTTGCAGCATTTTTTACCCATCCACCATCTTTGTAAAACACAACCTCTATTTCACAGATTTTCTTTGGATAGTTGGCGTTTTCTTCATATCTGGCTCTAGGATTGCAAGCAGGTTACCCTTAAGGAAAGCTTTGTGTAGTGAGCACTGAGCGGCCTCTGAAGCCCAGGAGAGGAAGGTGATGCTGGCTCTAAGTGGCCGAGGGGGCCGGTTGGCGGGGCCGGTCACCTGCATGTGTGGGCAGGTGCATCTCCCTGCAGGCCGGTAGCAGCATCGCTTGAGATGACGGCATGAGGCGCTCTGCAGGCTCCGGTGCGGGCGGGGTAGGCATTCTGAGGAGGATGCTCTCCTTCCCCTCAAGGGTGACTTCACTTTCTAAAAGCTTCAAAGCCCAGAAAGAACGCTTGATTGCTGATGGTATAAAATGAAAGTCATGGTTTGGTACCTGTAATAGGGTCAATCCTTAGAGAGTTATAAACCCAGGGAAAGGGAGTCAACTATTACATCACCACCTGGCATGACTCTACCCTGAAATTGTGTGTTCTATCAGTTTAGTCATTTAAACTTTAAGTTTATGGACTTTTACATAGTAACCGTAGAAATATTTGCATGACAAAGGTTCAGCCAGAGTGATTTTCATGTGGTTGGATGGGTGTCCATGGACACGCCTAGCTTATCCTGAAAGTTCCCCATCATCAGCTCTGACATTCCCCGCCATGCCTTCCTGTCAGTGCAGTTTCCCTCTGGCTTAATTCCCCGCCCCACACGGGGTGCCCTGCCCCTCTCCGGTGCTGCATTTGTAGGATCACTGCAATTACCTTGGGTAGGAGCTGGAAGACAGACAGGATGAGGCAGGAATTTGGAGAAGACTTGGTTAAAACTCTTCAAGGAGTTCAGTTTTTTGTTTTTATTGATTTTTAAAGAGAGAGGAAGGAAGGGGGGAGAGAGAGAGAAACGTTGATGTGAGAGAACCATCAATAGGTTGCTTTCTGTATGCTCCCTGACAAGGGATCGAACCTGCTACCTTTTTGATGTATAGAACAATGTTCCAACCAACTGAGCCACCTGGCCAGGGCCAAGGAGTTCACTTTTATGCGCTTTTACAGAAGCTATGCCTCAACAGCAGCTTTATAATGATAAAGTACAAAATACAAAAAGAAAAATTCTGCAAAAAATACAAAACAGGAAGCTATATTTTTGTTATTGTGAGCTCTGATTACTGTAGGTTTTAACGCATTTGGTGGTGGTTGAAAGGGAACACGGATGTTCAATTAGGAGTACGCTTTGCCCAGCTTAGCAGCAGGATGACTGGATGTATGTGACGAGCTGTTTCAGCCGGAGGCACATCGCTCCCCGAGCCTGCCTTCTGCGCCGCTCTCCAGGTGTGGGCACCGTGTGTCCTGGGGCATGTGGAGACCGGCTTCCCGTGGGTGATGGGATGTTCTGAAGACTTGCATTTTTTTCCCCCTTCATTTTTGGCTGTCACGTGGCTTTAATGGCTCCGTTAACAAGCGGGTGTGGACATTAGTGATGGCCTAAGGAAAGCCTCCCGCTTGCTTTTTTGTTCATCAAAGATGCCTTTGCTCTTACACCCAAAACGTTTTCTGCCCCCACTTGGGGTTGCAGACTTGCACCCATTGGCTGCGTTAATAGAGACGAAGAGCGCAGTTACGCTTTGACTGGGCCCCGTGGTGGCCCTCGTGACATCAGCCGCAGCACTGCACCCACCTCCATAGAAACGAAGTCACCCAGGCGGCCCGTTTTCCTTTCTCACGTTTCACTTATTTTGCTTTGCATAGAATGACCATTTCATCTTACACTCCTCTGTGATGTTTGAAGTTTTTCCTAGGAATTTTACCTTGTATTAAGATCAAAGCTATTTTACTGACAGCCTCGATTTTTACATTCTCATGTGTTTCCTGTGTGTTTCTTTGGTGATATTTATTGTACCATGTTTGCGTGTGTTTGCCTTCGTGAAGTGGAAGTATGTGATTGATTGGCCAGGAAGTTTTTGAATTTGGCAGTACTTAGTCTCAGGTTTTGAGAAAGGAAATTATTGCACATCCCCTACTTTTTAACCAGAGCCATGGGGCGAACTAGCCATGGTGATCTGTAATGTGCATTGTAGCTCTTGCAGTCAGGGAGCTTCCAAGAACGTGAGTGCACGTGTGAGAGGGGCTTGCTGCCTGCGGGCCTGTCCACATGTCGCAGAAACGATGTGATTGTTGTTTTTGTTCCGGTGCAGCCTCCATGCGGCAGTCTCAGGCCCTACCTGCGGACCTGCGCCCGGAGATGTGGATCGCACAGGAGCTTCGGCGGATCGGGGACGAGTTCAACGCCTATTACCCACGGAGGGTAATGAGGTTTTCTTACTTACTCACCCCTCTTCTCCTCCCTCCCTCCCTCTCCCCACCATGTAAAATAAAATGACTACTAATCATCCAGGGCTTGTCTGGAAGCGACAGGTACTGCCTGTGTGTGACCGGCCACTGTTCCTCCTGTCTCCCGTTTTCCGTTTGTGTTACGGCTGAGCTGAGGTCAGGGCAGTTCAGCAGAACCCAGGACAGGCTGGCCCAGGGGTTTCCTGAACACAAGCCTTAAACCATAGAGCTTAAAAAGGGCGTTGTTTATATGCTTTGAAATAGCCCCACATACATGTTCACATAGTTTTCAGTCCATATGAGGTGTGTCTGCACTCCCTTTAGGTGAAAGTTAGAAATTTTTAACTTTCCATCTTCACTCAGCAAGGAAATGATGCCCTGTGGTTTGCTGGTGACGTGGGTCAGAGCAGGAGCCGTGTCCTTTTGGCCCCATGGCTATCCTTAGACTGTCATAAATGAGGTGTGTTAGGATTAGGAGGCCGTTTATTAATAGCCTGTAATTTGGAGTACAAAATTTACACCCCCAAGTTGACTGCCACTTAAATTTTTGAGGTGTGCAATGATTTTTTGATTTTTTTTTTTAATTAAGCCCATTGTCTTATCCTGTAGACAGAGTGTATGTTTTGCTTGCCCAGAGTCTTTCTTCGTTACCATTTGGACACCCTTTTCCCATGAAGACACTTTAAAGTGTGTAGGCTTTAACTCTGAGCTAAATGGGGCTCTCATGAGCATCTTCGACCACCTCCTCTAGGGAACTCACTAGCCAGTGTGTGATATCATGTAATTCTGGCCAGTTTACTTTTTTTTTTTTTTCAAACAACCATGTATGAAGATATTTCTGTTGATTTCTCTAAAAGGAAGACACTTGAACCTGATTTTGTAGGAAGTAAATGTTAATATCATTCTTCCTGTGTCACTTCCCTCCTGGCTGCTTTATTTCTGAGCACTATCATTTCATGTAAGTACGTCTTAAAAATAGTTTTAAATCTCTTTTTCCTCTGGAGGGAGGTCAGGCTTAGGACACCCCAGCATTTCTATGCTGCACTGAATGTCCGTGCTGTTGCTAAGCAAATGGATGTTACCTGTTAATAGCGCTCGATCATTCCTGTTTTCCTGTCCGTATACGGACAGTGCCTTTGAAGCTTTTTTAAACATGTGGGTAGTTTCCCATTACGAGGGCGCCTTTCCTTTCTTCACTGCAGAATCTCCGTAAGGGGGTTACGGACTTTCAGAAAAGTCACATTGGACCCTTTTCATACCTTCCTATGGGGGGGGAGGGGTTTGGTGGGAAATGTGTGACAGTGTGATTCTGTCATTAAATGGGACATGTCGCTTAGGATACTGTCTTTAGCTGGCAGAATGCCAGGCATCCTGCACCTGACATGGGCCAGCTCACAGAACAGGAGTTCCTTCTCAGCCTCGATCTGAAATCGGTGATTGTTTTATACCGTGTCAGTAAAGTTACTGTTTCCCCCATTTCTTCCACCGTCGTTTCTCTGAAGGGGTTCTGGTGGTACTGTGTGTGGTGGGTAGGGCTCTCCTGCTGGACGAGGGGAGCTCATCGGGAACAGGGCCCCAGTGTATGCAGGATGTTGGTCCCCATGCTAAGGCGGGCGGATATGGGTCCCTTCAGGAGGGTGGGCTGGCTAGATCCGAATCCCTGATTCTGGCATTTGTGCCCATAATCCAGCCTGGCAGACTCTCAGGGTGAGTCTGGCAGTGAACCAACAACAGGCTGGGCCTGCCTCCTGCCCTATCTTGAGACGGTTTGTAGATGTCCTTGGGACCTGATCTGACTTGGGTGGTGCTGCCCAAGAGATGAGGTCCTTGGGCCCTGGTTGCCTCAGTGTCCGGGAGTTCTGGACACCGAGATACATCAGCACAGCTCTTCCCAGGGACTAGATCAGAGCCTCTGGCCACAGAGCCAAGTGTGTTTAAGGATATTTTGTAAAAGTTTCTCTTTAACCTTCTATGGAGTATGGATGACTCTACCAAGCTTTCCCCTGAGCCTGCCCAGATGGGTCTGGTAGATGCCCCTCTGCGGTGGCCTTAGGTGGTCAACGATGAGACCTGGGCTAAGGATGGCGTGTGGGTTGGAGCTCAGCCATCCCCTCATGTAGGCTGTCAAAGGGGTGAGCCGTTCTAGTCACAGGCAGATGAGACACGGGCCATTAGGTTGTCTTCATCACCTTGACTCTGCACTGAAGGTGAGATGACAACATCTACCAAGTCGTGTCCTTCCTCCCTCTCCTCCCAGTGTTATTTCAGTTTAATGTTTAAGGTAACCTATGTAACCTATATGCTTTCATTGTGTTTGGTAAGATAAGTGTAAATCTCATCGCACTATGTTGCTATATTTTGTCATTGTGAATCAGTGGCCACAAATGCAGTTGCTAATATAAAGGACTCATTCTCAGTCTGCTGGGATACTGGGGGGAGGAGTAGGGACAGACAGACTGTAGGTTATATCCTGATGTTTCTGAAATGGAGGGAAATGCATTCTCCAGATTTTACAAGGAGCCAGTTCAAGCATGACTCTGAAACTCGGGGTAGTGACCCAGTGACCCCCAGAGCCACAGACCCCTGCCTTGATAGTGTTCGATTAAACAGTCATTGTCCGCAGTCACACTGATGGTTTATTGTTGAATATCGGGGGGAGGAGAATTCTGGTGGGGAGACAGAAGACCGTTTGGGAAAGCGATGCCTTGAATTTATGGGCTGGCTTTACGCGGAAGCCACTGCCCTTGGGCGACAGTGTACCTTGTTGCGCTGCTTCAGGACAGATTTTAGCATTTTAAATATCTGTCTTCTTTATTTGCATTAATACCGTGACAGTACCTTTTCTGAAGTGTTGGTCTTTTGATCACCACGAGCCTTGCGAAGCCTGACAGGGTATTCTCCCATTTTTCCAGTTAGAGCAATAGAGGAAGTTGTCGTGTAGTTGTCGTGTGTTCAGGCCGCGTCAGGGCAGTGGGGCAGCGTATGCCACGGAGCTGTGGAGTCTGATCCTGGAAGCAGGAGTGAGAGGCACAGGTGAGCGCAAACCCACTGCATGTCCCCTTTCCCCCGTGATTCAGTGCGATGCCCCGAACACCTCCAGGGCAGGTGACACTCCTTCTTCCCATCCGATAGAAGCTTCACCACTCAGCACCGGGCTAGTGTTGTAACTCTTTGTTCTGAAATGATTTCAGACTTACCAAGAAGTCGCAAGAATGGTACACAGAACCCTCTTCTGTCTGCTGCCTCCGCTCCCCACGGTTAACTTTTTGCCGCATTTGCTCTAACAAACGCTTTCCCTCCTCATACTATGTACACGTTATGTTCTGAAGTATTTGGGAAGAAGCTGCAGACATGATAGACCTTTACTCTTAAATACTTTTGTGTGTATTTCCTAAGACTGAGTATTCTCTTACGTGACCTCAGTGTAGTCATCAGCATCAGAGTTAACGATGTTACGGTAACGTGTAATCCTGGACTTTATGCAAACAAACGTTGCCAGTTGTGCCAACAGTGTGACTTAAGTTCATGGGTCCCTATTTTTTTTTAATTTTATTGATTTTAGAGTGAAAACATCAGTCTGTTGTTCCATTTTTTTATGCATTCATTGCTTGATCCTGGTACATGCCCTGATCGAGGATCAAACCTACAACCTTGGCGTCTCAGAACAACGCTCTAACCAGCTGAGCTACCCAGCCAGGGCCCTGGGCCCCTGTTTAATTCAGTGGGTTATTGTGTGTTACACTCAGTACTTATGAGGCTCAGATTGTCACAGATTCAGCCAGCGGCAGCTGTGTGGTGTGTTTTACCATGTCATTGAGCATTAAAGTGCCTTGGTAGCAGAGGCCCACAGACAACGTGTTGTGGGACCATAGATGGATTTGTGGCTAAGTGACCTGCACCTACTGGTATCCTGTTACAGCTCCGGGACTCTGCAGGGGGGTGGGGTGGGGACCACAGGTGAGCACAGAGCTGACAGTCATCGTCCAGGGACAGGACTTCTCAGAGAGGGTAGGGCTCTGTCTGGGGCTTTTTAACGAGGTAGAGTAACTTGCAAGGAGTTGAGCAGCTCCGCGTAGTTGCCTGTGCTCCTTGACTCCGCCTCTTCCTCACCGGTGGCACGTGTCCCTTTGTTCCTGAATAGCCTCTGCTAGTTTCTTCACCATTGAGAAGTTGTGTAAGGGCAAGTCCAGGTCTTATCCGCTGGAGGGAGTGTCAGCAAGTGGGGCCGTGGTCTTCCGAGGATGCAGGGTGCCGTGTGCTTCACCAGGTTTCAGGATGGTGTCTCCTTGATGGGATTCTTGGCCATGGGCCAGGCTCGTAGTCTGAGGCTGTTGAGCGTGTGCTGAACCCTTTAGACGTAAAAACACGTCCTCTAACCAGCATGTCCCCCCACCCGCACCCCAGGACCGAGGCTTGCCCACCCCGAGTCACTGTGCTCGGGTCCCCTGCTCTTGGTGAGCAGTGACTTGGGATGTCCCGGTGGTGGGCTACAGGGGCCAACAGCACACAAGGCTGAGACACTCTCTAGAATGGGCCAAGAGGTGGGTGAAAACCCTTTCATTGTTTGATCACAAGAAACAGTGTGTCTTTTGTTCACAAGGCCTACTTCCTACTTGTGCCCCGGGCGTGTGCGGGCACGAAACAAAGGAATGACCTGCCGACGGAAGCGCAGCACTGAACCAGACAAAGCAGAGAAGAAAGGAGCTCACACGCTGGGTCTCGGGAAGCAGAGGTTTAATTGACGTGTCCACACCTTAGCATTTCCATGTGCTCTGTGTGAACCTGAAACCTCTCTGTGCTGTCTTTCCTAACAGGCGCACCCCCTCTGCTGTCTGGGTATTGTTTTTATATAAATGATCCTGTTCTGTGCCGGGCATAACGTGCCGGGGAGAGGCCTGCGCTGTAGCCTGCTTGGTAATAGCATGAACCAGATGTAACCCCGGAGATGCATGTTCTCAGGCAGCATTCTTCTGA